TTTTTTTTAATGGCTGCTGTTGCTCAAACCTCATTTCGCCTGTTAGAGGTAGAGCGTAGTTTGGCACCCGGACTCGGCAGGCTTCAGACGTTCGATGCTAGCAGCCTTGCGTTGGCCCACGGGCACGAGGGCCACGGACTTTCTTTCTGTCTATTCCGAATTTCACCGTCTCTTCTATGCTCCTTTCACTCATCGTGGCAACATAAGACAAAGGAAGTGCTGGTGTCATCTCGCCGCACAAATGTACATGCACACAGACAGACAGACAGACAGGTGCTGCCTGCTGCAAGAATATACAAAAAACAACAGCACACGGTGACAACCGTTCAGGTTTTTAGGCTCGTTGCCTGCGTGGCCCCTCGTGCTGCTGGTCGTGGACGGCCGCCCTTCTACTAATATGACGGTGATGGCGAGAGCGGCGGCGCTGCAGGGACGCCCACGGCGAGGCGAAGCTACCCACTAACCCCCTCCTCTCCCGGTAAAACCTGGGGCGAAGGAAGAGGAAGCGTAAGTGAACGATGAGGAGACGCCGGCACGAGAGCTGGAACATCGATTGCTGTAACAGTCCTGGCGAAGAGGCTCTTCCTCAAGGATGGTGTTCCCAGCAGAAACAACGAGAGTATCGGTAAAAACAACATTAACGGCAGTAGGAGCTCAAGTAAAAACAACAAAAAGTTTGGGACTGCCAATAAGTACGAGGCCCTTATGCGAAAGGTACCATACACCCTCGTCCTTCGTCCTCAACTAGTGGCTTTGTTTTACATTTAAAAAGTGAGAGGGTATGGGATGAACGAAGAGCGAAAAAAAAAGTTAAAATTAGTGGAAAGCAATGCTTCCAGAATATATTGTGGTCACAGCCACGCTGGTTTCACCTCGCCATTGCCCTGTTGACTTCTCGGTGCGCCCCTCTCTGTTTCCCCGCACATGCGCACCTGGTAGGTCGATTGGCGTTGCTCAATAAAGTGCCTGATTTCCCGCACCGTCTTTCCTAGAGAATATTTTTTTTTTTCCTTCGGCATCATCTTTTTTTTTGTTGAATTGCCTCACACACACTCAACATGAGCAAGGAACACTTGTAGGGGGCGCGGAAAGTAAAGGAGGAGGGAAGTGACACAGGAATCATTTGAGATTTGCTTCACCGTTTCACTGTTGCCTCAGCTCTGTTTACTGGGAGAAGCGATGCGTATTTTCGCCTCAACAAGGATGTCGTTGTGCCTAGAATTTGTGCTACTGTCGCAACTTTTCATATTCTGCATGGTATCATCACTTACAGCGGCGGAAGGACTACCGGACTGCCGCACCATGGAGCCATTTCTTTCCCATGAATCCCACACTGCAACTTCACCAGCAACCGCTATCGATGACCTGAGTTTGGCATGCCTCCTTCGCCCTGGTACGGCGGCGGCTTTGCTTTTAGGATCACCAGAGGGACGTTTGCTTAGCCCACTACGCGGACGCTGGCACAGCGATGGTACCGCAAATCAATATGTGGGCAGCACACTCGATGATGAGGCCAAACTCTCCATGCTGTCTCGGGTGACACAATTCTGGCACCGCCTCTGCGTGTATCCGTGGGGCGATCCGGCTGCTGTGGAGCGCTTCTTCTTTCAGCGCCAACTTCGCCTTAGCTTTGAGGTGAATGTAGAATCTGACACCAAGGCGAGCGGTGGTCAAATCTTCAGCATGGCAGTGATGGAATACGTTCGTGCTACAAGCTTTCAGCCGACTGCAGTGCGTGTTAAACAAACGGGTGAGGCGGACACCAGAGATGTTCAACTCGCCTGTAATTTTACACGGGTTCTCGAGATGCGCCGTGCCACTGGCGAAGCCTCCTCATCACTGGCTCGTTCACTAAAGAGCCTTGACGTAGTCTCTATGATCTCGCTCCTCTTCGGCGGAAGCGGCGGCAACGGCAGAGGAAATGCCGCCTCGTCATCGTCACAACGCATGGAAATGGAGTCCGTGTACGTTTTTGAGGAACTCGGGCCGCATAGGCGAAATAGTCTGTGGGTGCCGTCATGGGTGGCGGCGTGGTTTGGTAGTCGGCCCATGGAAACTACCGAGACGCTTCTTCGTGGAGAGGACGGCCACCACCAGTTTGTTTTGGAGGCCCATCTACCAGTGGCAAAACCAGTGTGTCTTCGCTTGGCTGCGGTGGTTGAGAGAGGGCTTATTGTGCATATAGAAGAATCCCTCGTGTTCGATGCGTTTTGGCTGAAACATGTCCTGTTGTTGTGCCTTGTGCGATTGCTCCAGCCGTCGGTGGAGGATATTCCAGCTCTCCAGATATTTCTAGCAGGTATGGGCAGCGTGGTTGTGTTGTGCGGGTTCGTTGCATTGTTTGTGCTACGAAAACTACAGAACATGACACTGGGAAAACTTGGCCTTGTGACGGTAATTGCAATGGGTGGTCTCCCTGCTCTCGTGGAAAGTATTTTGAGCGCTGCCTCCGCTCTCATTTACACGTACTTTCGCAATGATGACGGATCGGACTTGCTATTTCACCTTACATGGGTGCTGATTCTAATTGGCCTCATCTGCGGACTCTTCGCAAAGTTTCTGTGGGCCAGTTACCTTGCCTCACTCACACGGTGGACGCTGAGGTGTGTGCAGTTGGGCATACTCTCGTGTGCTGCCTTGCAGAATCGCGAAGCAACGCTTGTTTTTGTCACAACCGCAGTTGTGCTGAGTCCATCTCGCATCTTTCGCTTCATTCTATGGTGTTCGCGTTCCTCTGGTTTAGAGAATCGAGAGAACGACCCGCAGGAGAAACTTCCCAGCGCGGCCCGACGTGCTGTGGCGTATGCGCCCCCGCTGTGTGTTGAGGGTCTCATCGGCGGGTCACGTGCGCTCAGTGCAGAGAAGAAGCTGCAGTTGTATGACACACTGGGAAACGAATACACGCAGCGGGCTCTCCATCATCTGGCGGAGCAATTGCGGAAGGAGCCGGAGCGCTACGCAGCGCGCTTAAGCGATCCTAAAGGTGCCTCAAGTTGGGCGAGAAAGTACAACTAAGCAATGTGCTCTTTTGTGTGTGTGTGTGTGTGTGTGTGTGTGTGTGTGTGTGTTTATCACCACCGCTACCACCGTCGCCGCGAGTTGCGGCTTCGCATCCATTCCGGCTTCTTTTCGTGGCAAAGACAACGGCGCAAGGACAAAAAGAAAAACATGGTAGAAAGTTTGCCGGCGCTTGAATTAGATCCCTCTCCTCTCTCTACCCGTAGACATATGCATAATTGCACATTTTTACATATATGCACTCACAGGGTCGCCCAGAGGTGCACTGCATATGTGCGTGCGCGTAAGTTTGTGTGTGCCACACTCTATTAACAGTGTAAGTTGGTTCTTGGATGGCTGTTTCGGATGTAGGCCACGTAGCCTGAATGTTCCAATGAAGTGGCATGTGTGAGTTTCTATTTTCTTGCTTTGCCACTCTCTCAACGAAGGTGCAATAGGTCCTTTGAGAGTTCTAGGATCCATTGTGGAAGGAAAGATAAGAGAAACCAAAATAAAAAGAAAAAGAAAATATACAGTTACAGGATAAGAGAGTGTTGTAAGCAGACGTACACACGCAGACACATACATACAATCACAAATACGGTCTGACGGGATAGTATGGGGCACGGTGATCTGCATGCTGGATTTGACACATACTTTCCCGGGTGTGACAAGTACTACCAACAAGAAGCCCACAGCTTCAAGCCATATGCGACTGGGGGACTCCTCAAGTCCTGGCAACCGCGCGATCCAAGGCTCGAGGACATTGAGCGCCAGCGCCGTGCCGCTCCAACGAGCATAGAGGAGGCCTGTGCGTACGGTAGCCTTGCGCATCTCATCACATTCTGGGCACAAGGCCAAAATGTAAAAAATCGTATGGCCGTGTACGAGGGTATCGACGCGACACCACTCATGTGGGCAGCGTTCAGGGGTCACCTTCACGTGGCACGCTTCCTTATTGACCAAGGCGTCGATGTGAATGCAACGAACAGCGCAGGGCACAGCGCGTTGTCGTGGGCACTGATGGAGGTGCAGTACGAGATGGTGCGTTTCCTCCTTGATCACGGTGCAGACCCTCTGAAAAAGGACCAAAGGGGGTACAATGCCTACTTCCTGGCTGTGCAGAGCAACAGTCTGCCATTGCTGCTTATGGTTTGCGAGTGCTGCCCTCTCGACGTGCAGGATCGCGACGACGAGGGTCACTCCCTGCTGCAGTGGGCGGCCTACGTGAATTCCCCCGCCATATGCCAGTACCTCGTGGAAAAGTGTCACATGGGGATGGATTTTTGCGACAAGGATGGGCGCACACCCCTCGTGTGGGCCGCTCGTGAGGGTTACGCCGAAGTTGTTGAGTACCTTGTCACGCACGGTGCCCGCACAGAAGTGGCCGATGTTGATGGTTACACCGCGCTTCAATATGCGCGATATCGCAACCATCGAGAATGCGTGTACGTGCTGACGCAACACCCTGCTGCACGGCGGAACGACGTCACGGCATCGGTGGAAGGTGAATCCTCGAGGCATCGTTTATTGCCTTCTGGGTACACTGGTGTGCAGCAACTTCGGCGACGTGGCACGCTTGCAATGATGTTTCATCAACCTTTCTTCTTATTCATGTCAATTGCAGGCGCTGTCTACGTTGCACTGGCGTACCTAATCATAATGTTACTTCCTCCAATAATTAGCCACGTGGTAATCGGCCTCTTTTACTTCCGCAACGTGCTGTGGATGATTATTGCTGGCTCTCCGGTGCAAGGCGGTCAACAAGAGCCTACAGCCTTACAGAAGTCTGGCATCGCGAGCAATTTCGCTGATTCAGTGCGTGGCATATGGGTTTTCAGAAATCGAGATGCAGCCTGTTTGTTTGCACTCACAGCCTTCATCATTGTGCAACTGCATGCGTGGGCGAAGTTAGGTCTCTCACCTCTGCTGTTGTTTTATCCAAATGAGACGGTAGCGTTGAAGGGACGCGGCACTGAAGGGGTTTACCAATCTGGAGAATACTGGTGGAGTATTTTCTTTCACACCAAGGCTGAATTCGAGCAATTTATACTGTTGTTTCTGGTTTGCCTCATTGCGGTGAGTGCGATATTCTGCAAACTACTCTCGATGCGCTCTGTCCACGAGCCAGTCAAATCGTCACTGGATACTTCGCCTCTGTGGACAATCTTGAAACAGCGTGCGTACCGCTGGTTACACCCCCGCATTCTCTGCGTGAGGCTACATACGGCGATACCCCTTCGGGCCTTTTACTGCTATGAACGCGATGTGATCATGCGGCGCTTTGACAGCTACAGTGTTGCGCTTGATTGCCCTGTAGCGGAGAGCAACCATGTTTGGTTCTTTCTATTTGCCAACGGCTTTGCCTGTTTCCAATGGCTTATTTTCTTCTGGGCTTGGGAACAGACGAGTGAATTACTTCAGTGTCCTGCATCACCGTATTTTGGCCGGAGGCTATTTTGGTCGCTGTGGAACCTGCTCATCCACGGACTGCCGTGCCGTGATACGGCACAGAGCGTTGGCACGGAATGGGGCCCCTATCTCTCGTGGCTTCAATATATTATTCCTACTTCCGCGAACTACCTCGGGGTTTGGCTGCTGCAGTTCAGTCTGGTGGCATCCGTCATGGCGACATTTGTGGCGGCACGTCAGTGGACGGTAGCACTGACCGGCGCGACGCGGATGGAGTTGGCGAACCCCACCGCCACCTCCAGCGACGGCGGCCTCGTTACCATATTCCCACAGTCGCTGTCGGCTGCGGAGCCGTGGCAGCCGCCGTTGGGCATCACAGAGGGCATCACACCGGCAATGGAAGGGGGCGAGGCCGCACGAGCACCAGCAAGGCGTGGACCTCGTTGTATCTACGCAAGCAGTGGGTTTTCCGTTGTGAACGCCGCTGCATTCCTCCTCGGCTACGCGGGACGCCGCTGGAGGGGTGCCATGGCGATTTCCCCATCGAATACGCCGATGTTCAGCGTATCTCTACTGAGCGAGGGAGGTGATGTGTGATAGAGCATATGGGTTCCACACATATGAACGACACACAGACAGAGTTGCGTGAGAGGAAGGAGCAGAGAGGGACAAGAGAGGCATGGAAGGCAAAAGGTTTTGTGGGCGCCAGCAGTGTGCTACTACATAATAACACGAATCTCGTCTTTCATTATTCTGTTTCTCATTGAGAGTGTAACAAAGGAGAGCGAGCACATTTCTTGCCGTCTTGAGTCTTCGTCACACAACTATTCTACGCTCTCTCTCCCTCTCGCTCTCTTTGTCACACACACACACACACTCTCTCTCTCTCTCTTTCTCTTTGTTTTTTTTTTCTTCAGGTAACGAGCGAATGTGGGGTTTTTGTACACATTTCCACTTCTCTCTCCTGCTCCAACTGGGCCGATGCGGTTGGTGTACGACGTCGTGGGATCACTGCTCATCTTCTCTTTTCATTTAGGCGAGCGTCTTGTCGGTGTGGTCATCTCTTCCCCCCGCATCTCCTCACTGGTATGCTCACCCCTCCTTCCTCTTGTCCATTTTGTGCCGTCGTCGCAGCAGAGTAAAGCACACATAGTAGGCGCATAGAATTCTTTCCCTTGCGTAGGGTTGCTTAATCCCTTTAAGGAAAATATGCCGGGCTCACGCTGGGAAGCTGAAGCGAACAAGAACTCATGGAGAGGTGGTGAAGGGAGTGGGAGCGTTATCGACAGCAGTGATTTCGGAAAGGGCCACAATCCCCAGAATACCGCCGCATCCTTCACGTCCTCAATTCACTCCATTGCCGAGTCGCGCCCGCCTGCGTCGCCGGGCGGCAGTAGTAGCAGCAACAAGAAGAGTTACGAGGTGGGAGAGTATGAGGAGGGTGATGCGACCAGCAGCATGGGCGACATCGACCCCTCCTCTGGCCATATGCCGCTCTTCTTAGATAGCACTGGTGTGGACTACTTTGTTCAAGCTGCATCATTCTCAGAGCCACTGCAGGGGCAGTCATCTACATCTGGTTTTCTAGGTTCAGGCTTTGGTGATGATCACCAGCGAAGCACTGCGCATGAATTTGGTTTGGGTTTGCCCGCCGAAGAGAAGTCGCCTCCAACAGTGGCGCCGGTGGTGTTGAAGAATAACTTCTCGCGGCATACTAATGTCGATACCAACGATGGAGTAGCAGAAGCAACAACTGTGGCCGCGGATTCCTCTTCAGTGGGGAGAGGATTGCCGGATCTCTCACGAATTCGTATCACTGCATTCACTGAAGAAACGTCCGCCCGTTTGTTGGGTGCCGACACACAACCGTTGCGCCGTTTTCGCTGTCCTTGCTGCCGGCACTCTGTCTTGCTCTCGCTCACCGAAGAATGCGCCGAGGAAACGTATAATGCTGGTGAAGAGGAAGACGATGACGAAGAAAAAGAAACAGTGCCTCTTGAGCCTGAGCCCATTTCCGATGCAGGAGGTGTCGGCAGTGGTACCACCACGGTGATGCGATTCAACGGTGATTCGGTCATGCATCGCATCTTGCAGCTGCGCAGCACGCCCTCTACGCGTCGGCAGCTGCAGCTACAGCATCGACGACCTTCAGCAGTAGTGCTTCACCAGCATCTTAACACCGGGTCTCAGGGAAGGGAGATAACAACGACTGCTGTTCCACAGTCTGAGCGGCTCTACCATTACTACCACCACCCTCACCAAGAGCAACATAGAGGGGAGCATAGACAGGGGGGAAGTTCTAATGAGAACGGGGACTCCTCGCTCTTTCCGTTGCTACCGACTTTCAGTCCGACCTCATTTGTGCGTGCATATGTTGGTGAAGGCAACTACCCATGGGAGGCGACACTGCACAATCGGCCGGCGCTTATTGTGGCTTTCTGCGTGGCGGTGATGAGCTTTCTGGTTGTGCAGTTCTTGCAGCACCACGTCCTGGATACACGTGACCATCTCGGCCTCTTCGTAGTGGGCACATATCTCATACTGTCGAGCTACTACTTGGCGTACTACTTCCTCGAGCGGTACGCGGCCTCATTCCGCCGTATCTCACAGGACAAAAAGTTTTACACGATTGCCAACCTCATCAAAGCGGGTATTCTTGTGTCTCTTGTACCCTTCGCCACGCTGCACCTCAGCCGTATCATTCTCTTTGACGTGTGGGACACCAACACCCTGCGAAACCTCGGCTGTATCTACACCGTCCCCGACTTTGTCTCGATGATCGTGGTGAAGAGGATGAGCTGGTCAACATGGATGCATCACCTCTGTGTGTTGCTCTTCAATTTCTTTAGCACAACAAATGATTATGCGCAGGAGAATATATGTCGCTGTGTTGTCGTCTATGCGGCCTTTTCAACCTTTGCGTATTGTGTCAACGTGTTGCTTGCATCTCGGTTCCTTGGAGTTCCACCCAACACTGCACGCGTACTGTCCTGCATTGCAGTAGTCGTGTACATATTTTGTTGCGCGACGAACTGGACATGGCAGGTGTACTACCTACGTAAACTGCTTCGTGACGGACACGACCATTGGACTGTGTATGCCTACATGTTTCTAATATGCCTCGTTATGTATGACGATATCACGCTAAACAAGTGGTTACTTCACAATGCGAAAAGTACAGCGTTTGCTGCTGCGCAACACCAGCAGCATCAGCGCTGGCAGCAGGAACAACGACATCATCAGCAGCAGCAGCAGCAACAACAGTAACAGTAACAAGTTACAGGAGCTAAAACTTTCGGATTGCTGTGACTTGGTCATTATAAGGTAATGACACATCGACAGTGATGTTTTTTTTTTTGATTGACTTGGTTTTCCTTGCGAGTCTCACTCTTCACGAAAAAAATTGCTTTCGGCTTCTGCGCGGGGGGAGAGATGGAGAGAGAAGTATGGAGAGAAGACGCTTCCTTTGACCTCTTTTCAATGCTTCACCCTTTTTGTATTCTTCTTATACACATAGGAAAAAAGAGGGGGAGGGTGAAAGGATAGATACGTTTTGGTAGTGAGACGCACATATACATATACGTATATATATATATATATATACACTCAATTGGGTCCATGGCGACTTCCACTCCTCTCGTGGGAGGGCTCTTGTCGACTTGCGTCACCGCCACCGCCGCTGACAGCAAAGCGGATTATTCACCTCTTGTCCCCTCAGAACAGAACGGCGCGGCGGCGCTGAAGCCTCGAAGCCACGACGGCAGAAGTTGCAGTACTGAGGATCCCGGTGAGACTAACTCATGTCTCATACAGGAAGAAGACATTGCATTTCTTTTTACCTCCATGACGTGGAATGTTGACCTAATGGAGGTGCTGCTTCTTAAGGCTCCGAACCCCCTTCACTCCGACCACCAACAACCGCAACAACAGGAGCCACAAGTTGTTGTAAAGAAAGAGTCTGAAGAGTCGCTCACTGCAGCCGCGTTCCCGTCGCTTGAAGAGGCCCTTTTGACGACCACGACGGTGAACGGCAGCAAGGGTCGCCCCGCTGGCGTCAGCCACGGCCGTCGAAGCAAGCGACGTAAAATCGGCCGTGGGCGTGCCACACAACTGCGAATTGTGCCTACATTCTATTCTGAGCGAGTGGGGATGGAGCCAGAGGATGAAGAGAGGTGTGATGAGGAGGAAGTGGAGCCCGCCGTCGCAGCAGTGCCGCCCTGCCTCCGCCCAGTGCAAGATGTTGAGGAGCCGTGCGGCATGTACCTGACAGAGGAAGAGGAGCTAGACACCAACTACGTGCCGCACCGCTGCCTTGAGAAGGGTGACACGAATTCTGCCGCACCACCAATGGCAGTGCCGCCAACCGAAAACGGATATCCACCAGAGCGGTCGTCACAGGGTAACATGCGTGATTTCTTGCGGGTGTTCTATCAGAGTTTTCTTCTCGTTGTTTCAGCGCAGGTTCGGTACCAGCAGAATGTATTTGACCGGCCAACGCGCTCGCTCTCCCCGCTGGAGTACCGTGCGCTGTGCTTCTTGCGCTGCCATCTCGCGTCGTTCAAAGACATTTTGCGCCGCCACGTTATGTGCGGTGAAAAGGAGGCAGAACGGCGTGGGGCGCAGCCTCTCCTCGTTGGCCTCTTCCGATGCAACAACAACAACAACAACACCAACAACGACGTCCGAGGGGAAAAGAAAAACAAGTGTTCTGCGGTTGAGGAGTGGTTGCCACCGCACGCGCAGTTGTACCTTGCAGGGAAGGAACCGGCTTATCAGCCGCTGTTGTTAGAAGCCCTCGATGTCACGCGTGTGGTTCAGTGCTACCCAGAGCCGCGAAAAAACGATTCCGACAGTACGTGTGGCGCAGGCAAGGCAATGGAGGTGGCGCTTAATGCGTTGTACTGCTGGCGACGACTACTATTGGAGCGGCCGAATGGTTGCAGTGACGGAAACACCAGCGGCGCATCGAAGGGAGATTTACTTTTCATCCGAAGTGATGAGTGGGCGGTGGCCCAAGGGCTCTTCACCCGCTGCCTGTCGCCGCTGGTGTGGTCGCCGTACACTGCGTTTGGACCGTATGTGGTGTACAGCGCCACTCTGCCGCAGTCCGGTCGGCATATTGTGAAGCTCGTGCTACCCGCCGAGGACAGGGAGTCATATGACCTCTCTGCTCATTTCCAAGAGGGTGTATTTCGTTTTCTGCACGGCACGCCCCTCTTCCCCGTCAACGCGGGAATTTGTGGATTGAAATATGATCAGCAGCAGGATGAAGCGAAGGCGATGCCACGTCGTTCCTGTCTACTTCACTGCTCCGCTGGGATGCACCGCTCGAGCGGTGTGGCTATCGCGTACCTACTGTGGCTGGTTGCCCTGTCGCACGGTAAGCTACCTCGAATGGCAATGGTACAAGAAGATTTATCAGTGCAAGAAAAGGAGGGTCAGCAGCAGCAGCAGCAGCGGACCACCCCTTCGTATCTTTCTGCCGTTCTCCGTCAACAACAGCAGTACAAACACGCCGCTGATGACGCCGCTGCAGCAGCAGCAGGCGAGGGGGAAGAAGAAGGGGGTGGCTCCGCCTGCTCTGTGAACGAGGCGAAGGATGGGGCAGACGAGACAGACTCTGTGGTGCAGCGCTGTGCCGAGCACGTGCGCCAACAGCGCACCGTAGCTGTGCCAATCGCTGCGGTCCTGCAACATCTACGGCGCTACGCCTCCCACCTTCGTCTCGAGTGAATGAGCAACATTGAATTTTGGGAGGGGCAAAGTGAAAATGGAAAGTGACCGACGAAATCACGGTGTGCTTCCGCTCAAGTCTCCATCGCATGAGGGGGGGACAAAAACAAAAAAACGAAACAACCAAAACGAAGGTGGCCACCTCACTCTGAATACGAAAGCAGAATTCCTGGGGGAGGGTGCTAGACAAGCGAGGAACGGGAAGATTGACTTTGTGGTGTCTGGGAGGGTACTTGAACTTTTTTTTTTCTATTTGGCTTGGACCATGTGCAGCTTTTAGGTGTCGCGGAGCGTGAGTGAAGAAAGAGGGGCGTCGCGGGTGAACGGTAGGGAACCCTATCCACACAGATATTTTTGATGCGCTTTCACAATTCTTCTGAACCTCTCTACTTCACGTGTGTTGGTGTTCTTGTCTCTCGCATGTGTCGAGACGTCAGCACTCTGCTCGAGTTTCCTTCTCTTCCCCCCCACGCACTCTTGCACACACACATACACTCACTCACTCTCACTCTCTTTGTCGTCCTGCCGGTAGTGTTTCTTGACGGCGGCATCAGGTAAGGAAATGGGGCGTGACAGCCGTGGGGATCGTTACGCACGACGGAACGACGCTGGCGATCGGCATGGTGTTGCGGAAAGCAACAACAACAACAGCAGCAGCGGTACAGCGCCATCAACGCGCTATGGGCGTTATGCAGGGACACGGCGCTCACGCTCGCGCTCCCCGCGAGGAGGCCGCCGCAGGAGCAGGGGCGGGGACGATCGAAGCAGCGACCGTCACCGCCGTAGACGACGCTCTGAAAGTGAAGATCGGCAGCGCCGACGCATAGCGACGAGCGGGACGTCGGTAAGCAAAGAAGGAGGTAAACGGGGGCGTCACAGATCTCATTCTCGCTCACGCTCGCAGTCATCGTCCTCCTCTAATTCGCGGAAAGGTGGTGGTGGGGGTCGTAAGCGCTTCGAGACTGTGAATGTGCATGAGCTGCTTCAACCGGAACTGGCCCAGGCGTCCATGGGGATGGTCTCCCCGATGTCGTCTGAGATGATACTTGCCCTCATTCAGCAACAGCAACAACAACAACAACAACAGCTGCTGCAGCAACAGCAGCAAGCAGACGTCTCTGGAGACGTTGACCCCACGCAACTCAGCGCCCCTGCACCTGAAGCGGCCTCTCCTCAAGGCGGTGTTGATGACTGCTGTGAGCAGCTGCAACAGGAAGGAGAACAGCAGGAGCAGCGGGAGGAGGAACTGACCGAAGAGGGTGCTGCACCTCAGCCAGCGGCACCGGCGAAGGTGCTTCCCTCCGTTGCAGATTTCGTTCCTGTTATTCCCAAGAGTCTACTGAATCTTCTCAGTGCCCCAGCAAGTAGCAACACTGGAGGTGGCGGTGCGGCTAGCACTACTGCTGCTGGTGAAGAGGCGCAGCAGGTGAAGCATCAAGGTGTGCTGACCACGACGACCGGTGCACTAGCGGTGTTGCAAGCACCGAAACTCTCACCAGAGGCAGAGCGACGCGCACGTGAGGCACGTCGCGCCCACATCTCCTGTTTTCCGCAGCGCACGACACGGCAGGAGTTACTGGAGTACTTTACAAACATCATTCCGATGGTGCGGCAAGTGAAGGTACGGCGCGAGATGGACGAGCTCGCCGAACAGATGCGGTTAGAGAGCGGCGACCTTGCGGAGGTGGAGCGGCGGGAGATCCCGCCGAACGCTATTGTAGACGTGGACCGTGTGATCGACCTTGCCGTGAACAGCGCCAAGTCGAAGCCGTTCGCATTTCTCGAAGTGAACCTTGCCGACCTCGTGACGGAGCTGGTGGAAGAATCACAGCGTGACCCCGACCGCTTCATCTTCACTGCGTTGGACGGGCAGTCGTACCCCATCACTATTCGCCGCCCCCGCGACTACCAGGCGCTGCTGGGCGTTGACAAGCGTAAAGTTGTGATGCTCGGCTTCCCAGCGTCGCTCTCGGCGGAGAAACTGCGTGCTGTCTTTGAGCAGTTTGGCCCGCTTCTCGCCTTTGATGTCAAGGCCGGCATGGCGTACGGCGAGTTCGAAAAAGAGGTGGATGCGATCGAATGTGTGCGGGACCTTCACGGTGAAACGCTCGGCAACAATGTGGTGGTGATGATGCCTCTGTACGACTGGCTGAAGGTGGTGTGCACGCACGCCGATATTGACGTTGCGCTTGACCCCGACGACCCCGTCTCGGGTGCGTCGCTACTGGCGAAGGACGCACAGACGGAGGGTGCGCTTGTGCCGGTGCTCGCCGACGACGTTGCGAAGGAGGAGGTGCCAGTCGATCACATGAAGGAGTTGGTTGAGCTCACGGTTTCGCTGCCAGATGTCGTGCTGCATTTTTCCAAGACGTTCAATCACCTTACCGCACTCTACGGCAGTACTGTACCCATCTTCCCCACGCGTCTGCTGGTGTTACTCAACCTCTTTGACGAAGAAGAACTCGTGCTCGATGAGACCTATAACCGGCTTGTGGATGAGATTGCCGGCGAGGTGGAAAAACACGGACGGGTCAAATTGCTCATTGTCCCGCGGCGCACGCCACCGCCATTGCCGCCCAAACCACCAAAGACTTTTCTCGCCTCCCGAATAAAGACAACAAAGAGGCAGGGTGGTGGTGGTGGTGGTGGTGGTGGCGTCCGAGGTCGTCCCTACCAGCAAAGCAGGAGGGGCGAAGATGCGGCAGGTAATGTGGATGCGCTGCCGCCACACGCGTCTTCTTCGTCCGGCACTGGTGCGCCATGGACGGCGTCATCTGCGGCTGATAATGCCGCCGCGCACGAAGAAGGGTGTGATCGCCGTGGCGATAACGACAGCAACGACGGTGACGACAACAACGAGGTGGATGAGGAGGCGCAGTACGAAAAAGCCAAGATGGAGTACCTCCAGGCCCGCGAAGCATACACGGAGAAGCTGATGCACCCTATCCACGGCGGTTTTGGTCGCGTTTTTGTGGAGTACGAGTCTGTCGATGAGGCCGCCGCGGCACAACGCACAATTGCGGGAAGATTGTTTGGTGGCCGTACTGTCGTGACATCTTTTATGTTTGAGGACGTACTGTACCCGCCTACCGCCGAGGAGGCAGAGATGGAGGCGAATGAGAAGGTGAAACAGTATCTTGAGGCTATAGGCGCCGGCACTGGAAATGACAATGAGGAAGAGGGCCACCAACAAAAGGTGGGCAGTGACGGTGATGCGGCACAAAGTTCAGAAAAAGACGATGGTGTGGAGGCGTTGGATTGAAGTATGTGATTCTGCGTGTTTGTGGGTGTCGCTGAAGGCATTAATAACAAGAAGAAACGGAAGACAGAGGAGGCATGCGCAGGGAACAGAGGGTGTGTGGCGAGAAGGCCACTCCATCTATCAAGTCGATGACCCAGGGGGCGTACTCGTACGAAGAGATGAGGTTAACCGAGGTAGAAAGAGGAAGCTTCGAAGAAGAAGAAGAAGAATGCATTTGTGCATCGTCTGAGAGGAGACTGAGAGGGAGAGAGAATTCTGCGTTTCTCTCACTCTACTGCTACAGCTACATGCAAAGAAGGCGCGGGTACATTGTGTCTTGCTTCCGGCATGCCGTTGCCTTCTACACTTCTCTGTTGTTTACTTAATTCTATGAAATGGATTTAATGTGTTTCTTTTTCTGTTTTTAATTTTCTTGGACTCGTTGAGTGTAACAGCTCATTGTGTGCTTCCCTCTCCTCCTCCTCCTCACCTACTGCAGGGAATAACTGCATTTCCAAAAGAGGAGTGTGATGCTGTCTGCCCCTGGACGACTCTGGTGTGCCCGGCGGAGTGTGGTGCTGCATCTACTGAGACGGAGCTCGTGCGTCTTGATTGCTTCTGGAAGTGACGTTAGTGCCACTGGTGGTGGCGGAAATGCCAGTAGCACCATTGACAGCGGCGGTGCTGCGGATGGTGATGCGTCACCGTCGTTCCGTTTAATCGGTGGAGGTGGTGCACGAAAGGGAAAATCGAAACGGCGTGAGTTGGACGGCAGAAGGACCACAGAGAAACGTGCGGTGAGGAAACCAAAATATGACGCTGAAGATAGTGCACTCTCCACCACGCCAACTGCTGGTGTCACCGAAGGAATAGGAGTGGCGTTATCGTCGCTTGTCTCTTCCTCGTCATCAATGGATACAGCAGATGATTACATGCTTCAGTTGCACCGGCGGCTTTCTGCGAAGGCACTGGAGCAACATCACTCACAAGCAGGCGAGACAATTGCGTCCGGCGCAGCTAATGTGGCACGTGAAAAGATCGAGCGCCGCCGCAAGAAGTGGGCCTTATCGGAGACGGAGTTTGACACCGGTGTCACGGAGCGTCTGTTTCCGGAAATACGACGCCTCTCTGCACTCCATGAATTGCACTACGGCGACGCCACAATGCGTGAAGTGGATGCGGCAACGTACTTCGCTTCCACTCACAAGGACCGCACCTCCGCTGTGGCCGCGACGAGCGGGGAGGTGGCTGAGACGACAATCACGAATGCGGATTTTCTCGCATTTGACGAATGCGAAGTCGCACAGAAGTCGTCAACACGGGAAAGAGCAACAACACCAACACCAACCATTGGTGCTGTAGGAGCAGTGTCACTAAAAACTCCAGGTCTATCAGGAGATGGGAGTAAACTTGTCAAAGAGGAGTCTGAGCAGCTGCCAGGGTGCCCTTCTGCTGGTAACGAAAAGGAGGTGGCTCACGGCGTACATACGCCGTGGTTTGTTCCGGCTGGTGGTGTGGTGCGCCTCGAGCCACTCCCTCCGTCGGATGTGCTATGCCTCATGCGGACTGTGCTGCGGCTCCGCCAGCAGACGCCACGGCATCTGCCGCTGGCTGTTCGCCAACGGATGAAAATGACAGAGGCTTTAACCGATGCAACAATCCACGACAAGAATATCCTTGCTAAATGTCTCTCTTTTGAGGATGTGCTAGTGTATCTTGACACAGCACCTGCACCTATACTTGGTTTCACAGAGAATCTGCCCTCTGGTAAAAGTCCTGCTTTTGTATTTGTTCTCTACACCGAGAACGTATCGTTGCAGAACGCTATTGGGCACATGGCGGCGCTATTCGGTGTGCCTCAGCGTGCTTTTCATACTTGTACTGCTGTGTCAAAGATGTCGTGTGGGTCTGTTCTCTGCGCAGTTGGTCCTAACAACTTACATCGAGAACACTTGCTGCTGCTGAACACCATGCGCCACCCCGGCTTTGTGCTGCGCGTGGGATCAATCCGTGCTGTGGACGATGAGGAGCGCTGCGCAGACCTCTTTGGTGAGTTGTCACGGTGGCAGCCACTCCACGAGGTGGAGCTGCTGCTGCGCCGCGTGAGCTGCCGCAGTTCGCAAGAGCTAGAGCACCGCCTCCGCGCCGTGCAGGAGGTGGGTGCAGTGTTTTTCTGCGCCAATCGCGAGGCGTCACTTGCGCGCGCCGCGACCGACGTGCTGCACGGCTTCTATAAATCCGCTCTGCTGAATGCCCTCCATCGCCGCAACGCCCCGCTGGCAATGCGACAATTTCTAGCACGGCCGCACCCCATTGCGGCAGCACGTGCGCGGCGCGTTTCGACGGACGCGACGGTGCGGCAAGTGCTGAAGGGTTACATCCTCGTCGGCGGTGACTGGGCGCAGGCGGTGGGGCGTACACCATATGTGTGGCGTCGGCGCTGGCTCAACGCGTTGCGCTGCACTGTGTGGAACACGATGGCGTCTCGGCGGCTGCGCAGTGGAGGACGCCACGTGCTGCCAGGTGATGTCGTGCTTCGTCCCGAGTACCGCGCCGACGCGCAGCGCCGCATGCTCACTACCGTAAAGGCTCAACACGTGATGTTGGTGCGCGATGCGGCGGAGGCGGCGGAATGCAGCGTGGAAGACATCTTCATCCCGTTCCTGCGCGGTGTGTACCCGCAGGAGCTTTTTGCCCCGGACGCGACGAATCACCCTATCATGACGCGGGCCAATATGCTGGCGCTGCTACGGGAGCTGCATGCTCCGCAGTTGTTGCTTGGCATGAGCGATGTGTGCCGCCAGTTGCTCGATATTCGTGGCGACACATCCCCGCTTCTGTTCCGTCGCTTTATTCTGCGTCCAGTGGAGATGCGTTTCACCATACTGGAGGACAAGGCGCCGATCAAGTCCGTGCACTTCGACGCAGGTCGTATCCTCAGCAATGACCGGCTTCACATGCAGCAACCGACGCTACTAGGTACAAGTGACCATAACAAAACCGCCGCCGCCGCAGCAGCAGCAGCAGCAGGGGAAGGGTCAGCAACAGAGTCATCACCACATGCACTCCCATCGCCCTCTTCACTTCTTAGCCAGGAGGTGGTGTTACAGCGGACGACGATTGGTGATCGTCTTTCTTCTGGGGTGCTTGCCGATGAGTTCTTCGCTCTGCCTGGGCGAGAGGAATACATTGCTTTGGGCCATGTGGAACGACATTTGCATGGCAATCTTGTCCGTGCTGCACCGCGCTCCCCTGATGAGGCGCTGAAGACAATTGACCGCCTATTCACCGTTCATGTGCATGCGGTTGTGCGCAATGGCGCAGCCGCGCTGGGGCATTTGCTGCGGGAATATTTCATCCTTGGAGGAGTGGAGCGGGAGGACGACAGCGCACTGCAGCACAAGATTCACCGCATGCGTCGGGAACTCGACAGTGAGACACCGCGGCTGACGGCGCCCACCTTCTGTCAAGCATGCTACTGCCGCGACCACGACTCGCTGGATGCCTGCGCGGAGTATCAGCTGAAGCGCAGCAGGCAGCTCCACCACAGACAGCGGGAAGAGGCACTGCAACAACTGGCCGCAGCAGACACACCGGTGCTTCCGCTTCCAGCAGCTGGGGAAAATAGCACCACTGGAGGCGTCGTAGCGATGAATGACTTGGGGGGACTTGACGATACGTCGTTGGAACTGGTATTACGGTTGCGCCGTCGCTCGGAGAAGCAGAGGTGGGGCGTTCACCTCACTTCCACCCTTCGCCTCTCCGCCATCGACGATGTGAGTTTGGTGGCCGAGGGACATATACGGTGCGGTGGAAGTGCGGTCCGCAATCCTGTCGCACTAAAGAGCTTCTTGTTGGAGCTTCTCCAGCAGGAAAAAGGTTGCGTTGCGGTCGCCGACAATGAAGAAAAAGAAATTGATGGCGATGCGACTTCTCAGCGGGTAGCCCTTCGTCAATTTATTACCACAGCGATGGGTGGTGACGAGAATTTTTTGCGTAGCGTTGACAGGGGAGAAATCACGTCAATGTGCAGTGGCGGTGACGGTCTGCTGCTCCCTCGTCTCTGCGACGTCTTCGTTGACGCACCGTCACAACCCGCAATTCCTGCATCTGTGGCGGAGTTGTCGGATTCGCGTGCACTGCTGCGTCGGTGCTTGTGGGTGTTGACAGGTGTCAATGACACGGCAGTGGCGGGGCGTCGTCAGGTGGCAGCAGTCTTTGTTCGACTTGGTAAGGAGCGGGAGGTGCGTCTTCGTTTTACGGCTATTGTGCGCGGCTGTGGTGTCGATGTCCACAATGCGCGTGATGGCGGCATTGATGCTGGAAGCCAACCTGACGTTGCGGCAAGGTTTCCAGTTTCTCTTGAACTTTCGTTAACTCGCCGGAGTGGTGCTAAGGGTGGGTGGGGTATAAAGCTCGACAGCGACTCTCTTGCACTGCTGAACCTTTCCGAGTTGTTGCTGGCGCAAGGGCCGTCTGGCCTGATTGCTTCTGTTGATCCGCCGTTCCCGCTGGTAGCGGGTGATGCAAGATCCCTTGATGGCAGGTACGTTGTGAGACGTGTTGATGGACACGTGGTGAAGTGTCAGCACGACGTGGTAGAGTGCCTTCAGGGGCGAGTGGCACCAATGAAAAAGGGAACGGACGTATTGTGTCTGCAGCTTGTACTCTCCCAAGGCCAAAACGAGCAACACTGCAGCACAACGACGTTGAATGAAACCACAATGCCGGCTGTGAAGTCGTCTCCTACCGCAGAGGCCGATGTTGAGGGAACAGGCGCCACACGCGACGTGGCAGCTACAGAAAAGACGCCGGTGGATGCGAGCAGTGCATTGGAGCTACCGCCTTGCAGTCCGCAGTGCACGCAGCTGACGGCCGCGCAGCAAAAGCGAAGCCTTCTGACCATCGTTGTAAGCCGTAACGCTGCGGCACCGCCGGGCCGGTGGGGAATTCGCGTGCGGCGCGGGAGCGTGCGACTGCTGCGCCTCCAGCACAATCACCTCTACTCATTTCAGGTATACGCTGCGAAGCAGCAGCAAGCTGTGCGGGTCGCGGATACACTGCGGTTCAACAGCGTGCGCCGCCGAGTTCGTGGTGGTAATGACGACGACGATAAAAACACGGAACGAGAAGCGGTGACACCCTCTATCCCAACAGAAGTGGCCTTCTTCTCTCATTTTGTCTACGTGATTGTTGGGGTTAACCACCGCCGCATCGGTGGCTGTGAGGAACTTCGTGTATCTCTCGCAGACGCCGCGCGCTCAACGGATGAGGCAGTGGTGCTGCAAGTGCAACAATATCGCCTTGCCCAAATAGCTGTTACCATCGAACGCCATGAAGTAGATGGAGGTGCAGCACTTGAGCCTGTTGGGTTGCGTATTTCACGTGACATGGTGATTGAGTCCATTGCGGCCGGCGGCCCAATGGCTCGTGCCATCTTAGCTGCCACCCACGATGGCTGTTCGCTGCGCCGTCTCATCGAAGGCGCACCACCAGTTTCCGATGCTCTAAGCGAAGATGTGAAGAAGGGGGTGGCAACAACAACAGTAACGGAGATGACGAACAGTAGCGCTAACTCCCTTCACCCTCCAAAGTGGCAGTTTGATCTCGATGAGGACACACAGAAACAGATGGCTAATCCACCTGCGGCAACGGCGGAAGATTTGACCAAAAATAACATGAACAGCAGCAGCAGCAGTAGTAGTAGTAGTACAGGCACTGCATCGAATTGTGGGCCGTGCGCCCACTGGAACATGGTTGACGGCGTCGCTCTTACGGCGGCGCAGGGTGAACTCGAAGAGGCACAATTTGTATGGCGTGTGACGTACGCCGTACACGCCGGACCGTTGCGGACCCCACAGGACGCGGTGCGCGCCCTCGGCGGCGATGTAAGGGAGGAAACGCTTTTCCTGCAGCAGTGTGTAATGGATGACTGACGCAGGTGAGGAGGGATGTGGGAAGGCGCAGCAACAATGCTGTGCATCAGTAGCAGCCTGGGATGGGTTCCAGGCTTCAGCGTCCATCCCGCTTACTGTTGTTCGCGCAAGAAAATCCTCAGGGGGATGGTTGGAGCTTGAAGGCCACCGTGGCCGCTCTTCACACACACACGAATACACGTACTCAAGTTTACACCGAGGAAAAGGAAGAGGAATGCGTTAACCATTCCTGTGGTTCAATGCGATTTTTCTCCTTTCCTCGATATAATGCAAGAAAAAAAAACATATAATTGACTGACGAAAATCGAGGGAATCATTGACGTTTCAATGGGAGCCTTTTTTTTCTGGTGCTTCGTGATTAATGTCTCACGTTGCATTCTTATTGTTGTTTCTTACCCGCCATCGCCCACGATGGCACGCGTGGTTTTGCGTCTTGTCTAGATTGGTGTCAAGTGCTAGGAGAAGGAGCCTTTCTTCACAACTTGAATCATACGAAGAGGAAAGGGAGGTCCGGTCAAAGAGAAGAGGCAACACAAAAAGGAAAAAAAAATATGCAGCAACAGGGGGCACAGCACATGATGCCTGAGCGGCAGAGGTTACTGCAGGAAGTAATCAACAAGACGACAGTCCGTAATGCCGCACTAGAGCGCCTCCGCGGTTTGGCACATGAGCTGAAGACACAGCAAGAAGAGCAGGACCGAGTGCAGGATCAGATCAGCGCGCTTATGAGTATCGGCCACTTTGTTGGCGAGATTCTCCGCCAGGTGGATGAGGAAAAATTTATTGTGCAGAGCATCTCTGGTGCGCGTCACCTCGTGGGCTACAAGAAGAGCATCAAGTCAGAAAAGCTCAAGTTGGGTGTCCGTGTGGCGCTGGAGATCACTACACTGACGATTGTCAAGGTGCTCCCGCGCGAGGTGGATCCGCAGGTTTACCGCATGCAATTCATGGGTGATGAGAAGGGTGTCTCCTTCCAGGAGATTGGTGGGCTGCAGGAGCAGATGCGGCAGATGCGAGAGGTGGTGGAGCTGCCCTTGACAAACCCGGAGCTCTTCAATCGTGTGGGCATTACACCACCTAAAGGCGTGCTGCTGTTCGGCCCGCCTGGAACAGGCAAGACACTCCTTGCCAAGGCGATTGCATCGAACGTGGATGCTGCCTTTCTGAAGGTAGTAGCCTCCTCTATTGTGGACAAGTACATTGGTGAGTCAGCGCGCGTGGTGCGAGAGATGTTCGCTTACGCCCGGGAGCACGAGCCGTGCATCATTTTTATTGACGAAGTGGATGCGATTGGCGGGAAGCGTATTGAAGGCACCTCCTCTGATCGCGAGATTCAGCGCACACTGATGGAGCTGCTGCACCAAATGGACGGATTCGAGAAGTTGGGCAAGGTGAAGGTGATCATGGCGACGAACCGGCCCGACACACTCGACTCCGCCCTCATGCGACCGGGGCGTCTGGACCGCAAGATTGAAATTGGGCTTCCGAACGAGGCGGGTCGACTCGATGTGCTGAAGATTCACTCATCAAAACTCACGAAGCAGGGAGACATTGACTACGACTCCCTCGTGAAGTTATCGGAGGGCTTTAACGGCGCCGACCTTCGCAATGTGTGTACCGAGGCAGGTATGTTCGCCCTTCGTGCGGGTAGGGATTATGTGATCAATGAAGACTTCAACAAGGCGACGCGAAAAGTCGGTGATGCGAAGAAACTGGAAGGCGCCCCGCACCAATACGCTGAGCAGTAAGGCAGAGGAGGAGGGACTGTGTGGGCGGGCGGGATGGAAAGGAAGAAGAAGAGGGCGGACTGAAAGGCAGTCAATGGCCTTGCTGGAGAGAAGTAGGCCTGCACCAAAGGAGAGGAGGAGACGAACGAAAAAAAAATAGAGAAAACACAAGAAAAAAGACACAAGCAAGGAATGTGGGTGTATGTACGTTTGACTCATGCACTTTGTCGCGGTAGTTGCCGTCCTTTTTTGTTTTGGTATATGACGTTTTTCTCTTTTTTTTTTTTT